ATATATATATATATATATATATATATATATATATATATATATATATATATATATATATATATATATATATATATATATATATCATATTATTCATTTATATCAATAAAAATAATAATCAGAAAGCTGCCTTCCTGCGATGGTACCACAAGGTGGTGCTCACTCCCCGATAGAGGTAAGAGGGTCTGTGTAAGCATTAGCAAGCATCAATGATTCAAGCCTCGACCAGTTGTTCAATACTTTTAGGATGAGCTTGAGGAAGGTTTTGAAATACATCAAATGCCTACTGTAGTTGCCTACTGTTATTTAATTTTGTAAACTTAACAATAGGTTTTTTAAATATAAATAAGTAAATGAATGAATAAGTAAATACATTAACGAAAGCATTGCTGTTCTTTTATCGTACTTAAATTTATTTAGGCCTGTCACTTTCTGATGAAACGCTACTAAAATCCTCGCTCGCGCGTTCACTTGTCTGCGCGTTCGCGTGCCGCCCTCCCCACCCCGGACGCGCGAGTCTGCGTGTAGTGAGCGCTCGAGAGAGTATTTCCACTGCACGAGAGAGTGATTTACAACAGAGGCAAACCGCAGAGAGGGAAAGACACTCATATCAGCACAACCGGAGCAGTTTTCAATGAATTACCCAGCAGCAACATGCGCTTCGCAGCCACGCCTGCCCTGAACAACACCGCAAACTAGGATACAAGGTATGACAACAACAAATCATACGCGATTTAAACGCGAACTTGTCCCGTAAACAAACTGTTCTCTCAAAGACGCGGCTTTCATCCTCTGAGAGGCTTTTTCATCCTGTGGATCTCAGTATGATGGTGCTTGATGCTTTTCTCGAGGCTTTAAAAGTCTGTCAATGTGAGTCAAAGGCAGGTGGAATAACTTGCTTTTATTTTAAATGCTTAATTTAGTATTTATTTATTTGCATTTGTGTGATGAGCTAGTTATCAGAGTGCTGTGCATTTGGCAGTGATGCATTCAGTCTTTACATTAAGGATACTATAGTGTGCATGCATATGCTGTAGTCTGCATGGATGTTGCAGGACTGTTTTGGTCATAACATTATGTGGGTTATGTTTTGCACATGCGGTGTCTTGGAGCACTTGTTTGTTCATTTTATTTCATTTAGTTAATTTATTTCCTATAAAGAAAGCATCTGATTGTGAATCTGCTGTCATATTTTCCATTATATGATCATAAATCCTACACTGCGGGATTGGTTTGTGTTTGTTTTGTGATGTTGGAGGTAAATGTTTGGTTACATAAACGGGACGCATTTCCTGCGTGACCTTCATTTGATGATTGTTTTAAATGTTGATTCGGATATTGGCGAGCAAGTATGTAGTACTGAGGTTTAACCAGTGTAAATGTCAGGGATGTGATAGCGGGCACTTTATTGCTCGGGACCTGACGGGGATGCACCATGCAGGCGGGGTTTCCTCGGTTTTTCTGCAGATGGAGGTTCCCTTCTCATCCCCCTCCCCTTTAAAATAGCACTGGTGTTTGTTCAGAATGAAACTCCATAGTTTGTGCTGCCTCATTTTTTAATGGGGTGAATTATTTTTATTGTAATGCACATTAAAGTCATTGTTAAATTGTCAAACATTGATTTATTTGGGCTTTGTAAGAAATCTTAGAATGAGAGTGTGAGCAGTAAACAGAGAAAGTGAGGGGAGCGGCCAGTGCTTTTCTTAACCAATGAGAAACTGGATCTGCCTTTCAATCATCTTTTGCTGACATCAGATTGGCTGATGTGTGCAGAGGGCGTGTCTTTGAAGTTAGCGAAAATTCACGCCCATAAACAATTTAAAAAATGAAATTAAGGATGTAAAATTCACGATGTTGCAGTTTTAATTATAGAATTGTCATTTATTTCACATGTGCTTTTAGATTTTTAATTCAGTTTTGTGTAATATATCCCTGAATGTACGTGAAAAAGTGGTTGTAAAAAGAAAAATCACAGGTGATATTATAAAAGCAGCCTCTCGTTTCCAAAAATCCAGTCAGTTTCCGCACCTTTAAGGCACCCAAGCTCAAATCAAGTCAGTTTTATTGTCAAATATGCTGAACATTCTTGATATACAGCACAGATGGTGGTGAAAATGACTTTTTCCACATGCTCCACATGGAATCAAACTGTATAATCTTTATAATGTTAGTCTTGAGGTGAACAATTAATCAGTACAAGTTAATCGACTGATTCAATCTTTAAAAGGCACCTATGATGAAAATCATCTTTTGTAAGCTGTTTGGACAGGACTCTGTGTAGGTATAGTGTGTCCACAGTCATATTGGGGTGATGGAAACTCAATAACTTTTTAATTAAAATTACCTAATGTTAAAATAGGATCCAAATCCCTCTCATTTTGAGGCCCACTGCAACGTGACGTAGAAGTGCAGTTTCCCCGCCCACCGAAATGATTGACAGCTGCGTATTAACATGTCTCAGTAGTAGCACGTACGATCATATCAACAAGACAGGACGTGCGCAATGCAACTGGGATTAAAAGATCTGTTCAGCACTCTGTGATCATCAATCATTATCAAATGTGATCAAGAATAAGCCTTAAAAGTTAAAACGCATGTAAATCAGTGAATGTTTGTAATGAATTACAGCAATTTTACTGTCTTTACTTTATCACCACAGCCACATGTCAATACAATTATAAAGGACGCTTCAATCTTGGTTTGAGGATGTTAAATCAGGTTTACTTTGTACATTAACATAACGAATATCCATACAGCAGTGGATATTAACTTGTATCCTGTCACATTTGCCCTGCAAAAACAGTGCAAAGTTAAATGTGCGCGCTGTGTGTGTGTATTTGTGTATTTGTGTGTGCGTGAACTTTGTAACAACATTGTGCGTGACACATCGAAAGGCTTGAATTAACTCCACAACAAATACATCAAATAATCATTGGGAAAATTCTTACTGTAGTATTTTTAACAAATGTTACATGAGATCAGCTTCTTTCATGTCTGTCACTGTGCTGCTTATCTGACGCAGCCAGAGACTGAGGCACACTCAGACAGGCATGTGGGAATGGTGGGCGGAGATAACTATCATTAAAGGCACAGGCACCAAAAACGGCTACAATGTGTTCAGAGCAGAAAATGCAATATTCTAAACCAGTGGTTCTCAAAGTTTTTTTCATGAAGTACCACCTCAGAAATCTTTTTCTTTCCACGTACCACCATAATGACCAGTATTAAAATACAATAGCGTAGTAGGCCTAATTAAGCCAGGTATGTATAGCTGCACCTCCTGCTCTGCACAGTTCAAAAACGTGGCACGTTAATTGTTATTGTTATGAAAATTTATAATTGTCAGCCACTTTAAACATTATAAATTATTTCAACAATAACATTGTACTGTGTTCACAGGTAAAAAAAATAAAACGTCAACGTTTAAATTAAAATGTGATTTTAAAAGTTGATTAAAAACGTTTTTAAAAGTAAAAAAGCAAACTGCTGTACTTCAATGTAAAGTATTATCATAAAGTAACCTATTCATCAAAACTTAGAAATGTACTTTGGACCTCAAAAATATAGGCTATATGTCATCATATTCATATATAAACTCTTTGATAAATTTTGAAATATATGTTGCATGTACACATGACTTTTTTGTATATCTTTGAAATATAAATGTTAACTTGTTTTTTAAATACATGAATTAAATTTAAATATTTAAATTAGAAATAAGATCTGCCTAATGTGCGTTAGAGTAGGCTGTGTTTTACAGAAAAGCAAGTGATTAAACTATACCTGTCAACATTGGGATATAAAAATAGAGGAGACGCCCCAACAACCATTACAAATATGGGGAGATTAGCTTCACATGATAGAATACATAACAAACATTAAAAAAATGAAAATAAAATAAAAGGTTTACCCTATTAAAATCAGGCTTTTACTGATCACATCAGGCTTATTGTACGCATTAAAGGGTTAAAAGTGTTTTTATTTCTTTTATTTTATTTATTCTGGAGACACAAAAGACTTATATTAAATCTTGAAAACAGGGTTAAGTAGGTACCCTTTAATCAAAATCGAACCATTTGCTTTTACTTTCACTCATTCCTTCTCTCATGACATAAGCTTGACAGCTTGGATGAAATATGCTTAGCCACGCGCCTCAAACCATTAGTTTGCTGCAAGATAAAAATAAGAGATCAAGCGCAAAAATTCATAAGATGCAAGTCAAGGGCTAATGGCACCCATGGCTCCATTTATGTCTTGAATCAAATGAATGGTCCGTGCAGGAAACCAAACATTATTACCTTTAATCCACAGTCTCATTAAACAGTCCTGAGTGCATTCATGAACACTTGAACATAATGACGTGATTATGTGAGATGAAGCTGTTTATTTACAATAGAGTGGGAGGAGGATTATTATATTTACCTGATAGAGTCATGAGGAAAATCTTGAGGCGTCTCTAGAGTCTTTGAATGTGCAGCCATTACAATACCCCAGAAAACATGACACAATGCATGCAAAACCCTCTAAATACATCAGACCTCTTTTCTTGTAAATGATTATTTTCTATCAGGCTCATCTGATTAGGTTCAGAAGTTTCACTTTATATGTAATGATAAGGTTATTATCTAATAAATAAAATCACTTTTTTCATAAATGGCACTTAAGACAATTCTTTTAACAAATTAGATTTTATTTTGCGTCAAAACCAGCCAAATCCACTTGTACTTTTTTTGCAAAAACCTCTAAATCCACCTATTGGGGCAAGACAGTGTAATTAGTTGAAAAGTCACTAAAGATGCAATTAGAGATTATTTTACCAAACATAAAACGCATTACAAAAACCACCTAACATTAAAAACACATTTGTCAAGTGAGTGGCGGTTCATTCCGCTGTGGTAAACCAGGGAAAGGGCAGAAGGAAAATGAATAAATGAAGTTTGTCAAGTAAGTGCATAATCAATATCATTAAAACTGACAATAATTAAATCTGAACAATCTGTTGTCATTTCTGATATTTGGGATGTGGATTTAATGCAAGTAGAGCAATGCAAACATTTTGAAATAAGTTTCAGTGCAATAAATAACAATGTGATAATGATAATGGGGAGAGAACAGGAGGACAAGTCAGAACAGTAATAATATTAATGATTATACAAGTAAAAGTAATACTAGTAATGATTATAGTGAGGAGGTGAGGGGAGGTTGCAGGCCCGGATTGGCTAATCGGGAGGACCGGGAGAATTCCTGGTGGGCCGGTCCGTTTTTTTGGCCGCGAGGGCCGGTGTCCCTAGCTCCAGAATCTGTTGCTCTCAGCAGTCACACTTTTGAAATTAATTTATTTATTTACTTGACCACAGTCTTCTTATTCATTATTTTATCGCAGCTCTGCTCTTTTTTTATATATAACCAGGCTGCAGGTCAATGATGATATAAGTCAGCTGAGTCATCTATACATCTATACTATACATCTATACTTTACAACTGTCTATACTATACTAACGGTCTAGTGGTTAGCACGTTAAATCACGACGCCGCCAACCTGGGTTTGATCCTCGTCTGAGTATATAAATATATATTTTCATTTTTTATTGTTAAGACATGTAAAACTGTAGGGTTGTTAAACATTTGAAGTTCTAAAGCTGCTGTTTTCTAAAAAAAAAAAAAAAAAAAGACGTGATAGTGTAATTAGAAACTGAATTGGAAATTA